AAACTTAACAGATAAACCGCATCCATGAGACCCCCCACCCTTCAATTGTCTAATGGTGCAACCCTGTGCACACCTGCATGGAGAGGTGAATGGCAGAGGTTAATATTTCAAAATGAACTTTGACATTTTACCTCTTCAACATAAGCGTTTCCTTTTTAGGAAGATTTTATAAATTAATAAAGGTAAAGAAGCCACACCCCAAACAAATCTACTGCATTTGAAAAAAACAAAATAAACCAAACTACAAAACCAGATGCTGTTTTTAACGGTTATCTTTAACAAAAATACAGCTAAAAACCGCTCATTGTTACAGGCTCCTTTCAAGCAAGCTTTCAAAAAAATGAAAGCCTGTGATGAAACATCTGCAAGCTTTAAGTTAGAGCAAAGGAAAATAAAAATAAAATATTGGTGAAAACTAATTGCAAGTTCGATTTTTGGCAAAATCGTTCAGCCCTAGTCTATATCGACAGAAGTTTGCAAGTTATTGGGGAAACTGGTGCTTTCAAGAGTTTATTTGAACCTTTGGGTCAAAATGATTTTAAAGCAGAATGGTTCAGTAATTTAAAATAGTAACAATGTTTTTATGCACATTCTGTACTTTCCAATATGAGAACTATTGAGCTACTACATGAGAACTGAAGCCGAACAGAACCAGAATCTGAGCTGCATCTCTGTCTCCTGTCCAGACGCCACGCAGCAACGCTGTGCTCTCCGTTCATCCTGCTCTACGGCCTGGCTCTCTGCTGCCTGCAGTACGTCTGGGCCATCGACCTGGAACCCATCCTGCCCACCAAGGTGGGGACTATGAGCCTCAGACAGCTGGGACTGGACAGGGCGGAGTACCCCTGTCTGAGACTGGGAGCTATGGTAAGGTTTGGGCAGAGGAAGAGAACATTCTATCTGTTGGTTGTTAGAAGATTTAGGTAAAAAAGTGACGTCTACATGAAGAATTCACTCATCGTTCCCAGGTGGCTTCTAGATAGATTCGCACACAGATAAAAAAGCCATCAAAGGGGCCCAGAGGGAGGTGCTGCCTGTAGGAATGTCCATTAGGAGGAGAGGGAGTGGCAGCAAGCTTAGCTTAGCCTAGCTGTATTGAAGCATAGACACTGAGCAGAGGGACTTATCTAGCCTCATGAGACCATCCTGATCTCGCGAGCTTTCAAGATTTCACTCGCTAATCAGTCTGGAGACTCTCCGTTGGAGAAAATTTTGAGCCGTTCCCCAAATGAACGTCCAATCAGCGTTGGCTTTGAGGCGGG